ATATATATATATATATATAAAACATTCAAAGTAGAGTAATCATCATAAGATTTATTTTATGAAACAAATATCTGTAAAGTAAATATGTTTACAGTCACGATTATGAAAATATAAAAATACAATCGAAAATCCGCGGTTGCAAATGGCCCCAAAATTCTCACCGGTGTTTCACAAACGGTACGAGAGAGATTTCCTAATTGATCGTGAGAGATCCGATTTACATTGCTGTGAACGACGCTTAATCGAGGGTCCACAGGGAAGGCACCACGAACAGTTCGCTCGCATAATGGGCATAGGGCGAACCCAAGAAGAATCGTGGACTAAAGCCGCACCTTGTGCTGGCCACGTAAGTATGCGACGTGCACACGTTATAATGCTACGCCCGCGAACGCACGAGGGAACTAAAGTTATTGCGACCACCGCGATGCTTTCGATGGAAGCAACGCTTTCACCCGCATGTTGCCGACTTCATTTCGAAATTCGTTCGTTCGAATTTTCGAAAACGAGAACAGAAACGGAACGAAGGCTCCAAAAAGAAGTTTCGACGAATTTTTAAATTTAATATTCCTTTCGCCTGCGATTGAAATTTTCCGAATGCAAGACGATCACTGAATGTATCGTCGATATTTTGTAACTTCGTAAAAAGAAAAATCGTGTGTCTCATTTTAAAGCACAAAACCTTTACTTCGAAGACATTACTGGATTTGTTTTCTTCAAAGAAACCAGCGTAAAATTCGATTATTATATATATTTTTATATTTTACAAATTCTGTTCTGTCTGAAACTTTTTTTGTTTTTAAGAACATTTATTCATCTTATCATTTTCTCATTGGGACTCTTGTGATGTAAGAATATTTCGCGATCCTTGTTATAATAGAACCAATTTGATAGTTCTTTTAAACTTTTTCGATCTCTGCTCTGACAAACGTAAAATCCGAGGGAACTTACGAATCTTTTTTTACTTATGAATTGTCATCTCGTTCAATCATGATTTAATTGCTTGATGATATTGACAATGAAATTGATATAACGCATGGTCGTAATAGTAGGAATTCGAACGCGTGGAAGTTGTAAAGACACGCGTGCACGTCGTGTGACGACTTTAGCACCTGAGATTTCAGTATGCAAATTTCCCCGAAGCGTTTCGGAGGGAGATAAGAAGCCCCAGGTGTGTCTTTTATTTGCTGATTGAAGGAATACTTTTGTCAGATACCGCCAAGATACCGTCAGAGCCACAAGTCAAATATCTTTCAACCTTCAATCTCGATTTTCATTTTCACTACTTTGAAATGTTTGACAAAAGTTAAGTGGATCAGTTATCAGTATGAAATTACTATCGTAGACGGTTTAAAATTTAAACTTACAACTCGTATAAATTGTAATTATAATCCTCTGTGTAGTAGAACCTCGATTATCATTAATACGAATCATTGAAAATGTTCTATTGTTTAAATTGTTTAAATGCAACACAGACGCAAGTACAATGTATTTGCACGTTTCATAAACATTATATATGTAGTCTATGTAAATGTCTATCTCCCTCTGATAAAATTATCGAATCTATAAAATTCTCGAAACTATCAATACATAATATATGTATGAAATTAGAATATAAATATTGTATTGTATATTTCAGTTAATTACAATTATTCAGATAATTTGTTTCAGTTAATTACAACGTACGTACAAACATGTGACGAGTAATATATAAATATTATAATTACCACTTAATTATGGTATTGGGTGAAAAACAAATGTCACGAGTGTTTAACAAAAAAATTAATTGTCAATATGTTGTGGACCTCTTTCACAACGTAGTAGAAATTATTAAAATTTCATTTGAATTTACGATGTCAAAATATGTATCATATTATGCTGTTAATGTTGCAATATATAAAATAATATGTATAATATATAATACCTATAATACAATATATATATAATTATTGATTTTAAATGAAACAATTTTTATTTTTTATTATCTATTATTATTGATTATTATATATTGTTATTATTTAATATTATATATAATAAGTTTAAAAATTAATAATAATTTGAAAGTATGTATTACTTCACTCAATAGTTTAACAAAAATGGGAAACATTTGGAGTGACAGCCAGAATGAATCATCCATTCGCAAAGAATGCAACTGAATATCATTCGTCCACTTTTTCTTTAAGAGAATCTAAACAAACTCGTCGTTACACAATCTATCTACAGATTAGTCTCCTTAATTAGTATCGATAATCGAGGCCGCGACCGTATTATTGTAAACTAAAGCGACACTATGAAACAGAGTATGTACGTACATACATTGCTCCAGGGACGATCGCGCGGCTGCGGTGGAAGAAAAACCAGTGGTTTGACGATGCTGTTTGCCTTCGGTGTCTCATGATGTTTCCTGTTGTCACGTCATGCCACTTTCTCGCAATGACGACGGTGCGTTTGCGTTTCGATATCTGGGCGCGCGTCGGCCTCTTGGTAAACGCGGGTTTCTCCGTGAGTTGACTTCCTCCGGAGTTGATTCTGCTTGCCGGCGAGAGAACACGATCGATGATTCGTTGGCCAGCCACGGAAACACGAGTCATAACTACGTGACATAATGAAACTTGTCGCGCCAGACTCTGGCATACACCAGTTTATTGGATACTGGAATGTTCGTTAGACACTAAGACTTTTATGTGCTCTTTGTGACGCGTAACGTCGAACGAATCTCGTGCATATTGTGCTGCATGTATAATTCCACTGTTGCTTGCCTTATTATGCATTTCTGAAGGATTCAAGTAGATATAGTTACATGTGGAACAGGTAATTTTATTATTTTAATTTTATTATTTTAATATTGTAATAAATACCCTACTTTTATAATTATGATTTATAATATATATTATTATACTGTTATGTGTATATTCATGTAATTTCGTATATATTTTTCTACATAATGAATGCAAAAGAATATACTGCAGTCCGATAGTTAATATGGTATATG